CCCCCCCCCCCCCCGGAGCTGCTCTGGCCGGCTGCCTTCTCCTTCTACTACAAGGGGCTGTGGCCGCCTTTCCCCCCTGAAACAGAAGGAGAAGAGCAGCCCGGTTAGAGTTGCCTCCTGCTGCCCAACCAGAGCCCATCAGCCAGCCGCCCGCCAGACCCCCAGACGCCCGCCAGACCCCCAGATGCCCGCCAGACCCCCAACGGCCAGCCAGACCCCCAGATGCCCGCCAGACCCCCAGACGCCCGCTTTTCCAACAGGGTGATAGGGGGGAGCCCCTCTGGGGGCGGAACCTATCTTGGGGCGGAGCCCCTTTGGGGGTGTAGCGTATCTGGGGGGGTGGAGCTTATCTGGGGTTGGAGCCACTCTGGCGGGTGGCCACACAGTCAGTGACCAACCAACCAACTAACAGGTTTTCATACATGTTTCATTATCTCTGGTCCGGAAAGCTCTGAATGCTCTTATTAAAGCTTTGAATGCTCTTATTAAAGCTCTGAATGCTCTTAATAAAGCTCTAAATGCTATTGTTGAAGCTCTAAATGCTCTTATTAAAGCTCTGAATGCTCTTATTAAAGCTCTGAATGCTCTTGTTAAAGCTCTGAATGCTCTTGTTAAAGCTCTGAATGCTCCTGTTAAAGCTCTGAATGCTCTTATTAAAGCTCTGAATGCTCTTAATAAAGCTCTAAATGCTATTGTTGAAGCTCTAAATACTCTTATTAAAGCCTCTGAATGCTCTTGTTAAAGTTCTAGATGGTCGTATTAAAGCTCTGAGTGTTTGGCTATTTTTCTGTCCATTTGTGTGACTTGTGTCTCTTTTCTCTCTTGGGTCACCACTCCAGTGTTACACGGTCCCCAAAACATCCCTGACCTCCACCTTATGGAAGCCTTTCCAACTTGGTCTGAGACCTCCTGGACCTCTAAAGGCACTTTTCCACTGGTGGCCCTTCCTCAGCGTGTGTGGGGTCTTCACAGAAAGGAGGCCCTGAAGTCTGGTGACATCATCAGTGTACGACCCAAGCCTGACCCCCCAACCCACCGTTGGGCTCTTATAAGGGAGTCTGTTCATGAATCATCACTCCCTGGCCAATCAGAAGCCGGCGGGACGCAGCCGTCCCATTCTCAGCTCCCCTGCCTGATGGAGGACCTGGAAACTGGGCCAGGCTGAGCAGGTTCTGGAGGAACCTGGACATCCCCTCTTCCCTCTCAGGCCAACCCTGATCTAATAATCTAATCTGAGAGCTGTGATGCTGTCGTACTTACCGGCCTGCACATCCTCGCCTCCCGCATCCTGCCGACGCAAACAAAGGCATGTTCAGGGCCGGTCAGCTGACCTAAGCTCTTTATGTGCGCGAGGACGAGGGCTTACCGGCTTTGGGACCGGCTGGGGCAGCATCCGGCCCAGCCCGTTGACGATCCAGCCCATCATGCTGGAGAGGAAACAGCAGGGCGTCAGAGCACATTCACTTTTTTGTGGCGTTTACACAACAGCGCCGCCCTGGTGGCAGCCTCCCGAGCACCCACAGGTGCTCGTTTTTACATCTACTATGATGCCTTTCCATGGAAACTGGGAGGTTGTTAGGAAAACCTTCTGGCAAAAGAGGAAGTTTAAACATTTCTCCCCCTGAGCATCATGGGAAATGTGAGCTCAGAATCAGATAAGTGGAGAATCTGGAGCCCAGCCCCCGACGGAGGCCACCCCTCCCTCTGAGCTGCAGCCAACAGGGTTTTCAGATTCTTTTAACGCTTTTAAAATGACAGTTTCATTTAATCTTTGGATTAATAAATTATTTTCTTATCTGAGAGAATATTTTGCACCTACTTTGGCTGGTGCTCTGCTTCCTTGGCAGACCTGAGAGGAAGAAATAACAGGATAAAGTGTGCAATAATGTTAGTTTGATCAGCATTTTAAACTATGAGCTCTACACTGCCCCCTGTAGGCAGAGACTGGAATCCTAGAAAAATAGGAATTTTGGTTCTTCTAACCCCAACTGTGTTTTTTAGTAAATTAATTTAATCAATTGTTTGATTAAGGTTCTCCTAATACAAAGATTTTGAAGACAAATTAAAACTTTTCGCATTGCTGTGTTATTTTGATTTCAATTTGAAATTTCACATCATGACTCTGCTTGCAGGTGTTCTGCACCCTCAGTTTCAGGCAGTGGAACACAACATCAAACACGACAAACATGCAACTCACTCTGTCTCTGTGGCCAGTTTGGAGTCGGGTGGAGAAAGTGAATCTTTATTCAAGAATTGGAGTAAAAGAAAAAGTATCAGAAAAAGGCCCACACGTGCTAACAGGACCATGCTAGCAGCCTAAGATCCGAAAGTCACCTGTGGCTGCGGCCTGAGCCTTTTCATTTCCGTCTGTCTTTGAGAGCTCTGGATAAGGAACCACCTTCTCTATGCCCAGTTTGATCCAGTTGATCATGCTGGGAAACACAATCACAGGCTCTTTATTTTCTTAGTTTATCCGGGCAACACTGATTTGGTCAAAGATTTTTTTTCCTTTTGAAAATAGTTTTCTGTTCTTTTAAGCAAAGTGAGACGTTTCAATTGTAAGTCAATGTTTTGTTTGCTCTGCAGCTGTAAATAAGACTGAAACTGCTCAGATCCAAAATAAACTTAAGAATATATATTCTTTTTTTTCTCTTATCCATATTTACTATGAATTAATTATTTCTGTATGGATTCTTTCTTTAAGCTGAACACATTTTTAAAATTGATTGAACTAAATTAGATTTTTGTTATTTATCTTATTTGTGTATGTTTTCCTCCGTTATTTTAATTTTATTTAGCTATTTTTCCCGTTTTTCACAAGATGGCGCCTGAAACCGGAAGTGGTGGAGCGCTATTTTTCTCACCGGAAAGCACATAACGGCCGGTATTATCGGCCACTGGTAAAACTGTATTATCAACCACTCCGTGTTGGACAATAAAACACTAGCTGACTTTAGGTCGTTGTTCTGACCGAAGAGAAGCTAACCGCTAAAGCTGTTAGCATTCCGCACTTCCGGTTTCAGACGGAACCGGTTTCCGTTTTTTTTTTAACCCTCATTATTCGGACAACTTTACCATCGTAAAAACATTTATTTCGTCTTTATTTTTTATTGGTATCTGTTTCTGAATTTTTAGGAAACATATTAAATGATTTTGATAAACTGGACACTATGACATGTCGTTTATTAATTTAATCTTGTTGAAATAGAAAAAAACGATTAATTGTTTTCATAAAAAGTTGAATTGATTGAATAGGATCCTGTTTATAGGTGTTTTGGGTGGCCTCCTAAAGCTTTTCTTCTTCTGCTCACCTGGGCTGGGAGGATTTGTCCGTCGGCTCTGACTCCGCGTCCTTCGCTGTGACATCAGAGTCTGCAGGTGAAACATGGACACAGACGGCTGAAGACCAGCTGGACTCTAAATCACTGTTTCTAATCAAATACTCGGGTCAGTTCTCACCTGGTGGGGCTGCCGTCGGACGGCCCTGAGGAGAAACAAGCACAGTTTTACCCCAAAAACATTACACCTCCTTCATATTTTCCCCTCAAACTTTCAAACTGTTCAGAGAGTTTCTGTATTTTTAGAAATATCCTGTATTCTAACTTTGGCACATAAATGATTCAGAATCACATTGATGCGTTTGAAATGTTTTATTTCCCAGTTAAAAAAAAGAACTTGAATGTCACGTCTGGTGTCTCGTCATGTCATGATTACCCATTGTGTACACCTGGGGTTCCCCTCCTCATGTGTTTAAATAGTCCTCGTTTCCCCTTGTCTTGTGCGAGTGCGTTCTTGTCCTTCTAGTCCGTCTTGTCCGTCCTGTCCTTCGTCTCCCCCACGCCAGGTTTGTTTTTTCCACAGTCCTGTCACAGTTTTGGTTAATCTTTATTTTGTTACTTTCTCATAGTTTTGCCACAGTCTTGTTTGCTTTGATACTTTGCCCACAGCTTTGATTTGTACTCATGTCTGGACTTTCACAGTTTTGTTAAACTAAACCTTGTTTTCCCTCATCTCCGCAACTGAGTCCTCCCTTCAAGACCCCCTACATGACATTGAATGCATCAGGCCCTTTTTAAACGCCACTGGAGCTCATGAAGCCGTGACAGGAGAGTTTGTGGCTTTACCTCAGCCGCCTCAGCTTCTCGACTCTTCAGATCCGGCTGAGGAACGACCTTCTCCAAACCCTGAGAGATCCAGGCAATCATCCCCTTCCTGTGGAGGAAACATCCTGTTGGGTTACCAAGCTCACCATTTGGCATCCTGTTGGGTTACAAAGCAGCTCACTATTTTGGCATCCCGTTGGGTTACAAAGCTTCACTATTGTTGGAATTCTATTGGGTTGCAAAGCAGCTCACTATGTGGCATCCTGGCAGCCTCAGGGTTCCTGAAAAGGGTCACTATTTGGCAGTTGTTACTCACTCTTCCTCAGGTTTGCTGCTGGTGCAAACAGAGACAAAGAGCGGGTTCAGGTTCTGTGACAGCTGGAGCCAAACTGCTGGACCAGCAGAAACGTGCACACACGTTGAGTGTGCATGAGCGCAGCCTGACTCAGCGTTTACCTGGATGGGGCAGCTTCCTCCTGAGAGCCGATCCAAAGGAGAGAAAAAACATGTTCAAAGCTTTTAGAAGAAATCTGTTACAATAATCTACAGGAGAACCTCAACATAGGGCTTTAACTGGTTCCAGGACCGACTTCGTATGGTAAATATTGGTATGTTGGTTCAAATGTTCCCATCAGAATACACTGTAATTCCTATAATTCGTTCCAAAAATCTACGATAGCTCCTTGATAAATACCGCAGATAATTACACAAAGCAATAAAACAAATTACTTTTAGAAGAGAGATGTAAAAATAAATAAATGATAAAGAAATAATCAATAAAAATGGTTTTTATTGGCCCTTTACCTCAGAGACTGAATGGAGGTACAGGTAGAGACTGAGATACGGGACGTACCCTAACCTACTCTGACTTTCACTACCTGAACTTTAAATGAACTAGCTTATCTTTTTTTATCTATTTTTTTTTTCTGTGACTTTAACGTATGTTGGGAATTTACTTTGGGTGTTAAGTCAAATATACTAAGAACTAACTAATAACTATTTATTTATATTGATATAGATCTATATTTTTAAAGATTGTACTTTTTAGTTTGATCATTTCTGTTCTATATTTTTATTTCTACATTGTATGTCCTTTCTTGCTTCTCATAGAAGTGTTGTGCACCAAACACCAAGGCAAATTCCTTGTAAGTGAAAAACCTACTTGGCAATAAACCTTATTCTGATTCTGATATTTGATCAAATTTCACTTCATGTGTTGGAAAATTTGTATGTTTAGGCATCGGAAGCCGAGGTTCTGCTGTGCACTTATTGAGTTAACACAGACAGAAACGACCCAAACAGTGGGCGGCTCGCCCTGATTGGATGGGCTCAGGTCTGGCCGAGTCTGGGCCGGGGTCTCCTCACCTTGGAGCCGGAGTTGGACCGGTTCAGGCCGGGTGGAACGGTCGGGTGCGGCAGAGCACTGCTGATCCAGGTCAGCATGCTGGGGCTGGGGGGGGGGGGAACCCAGAATCAGGGTCACAAGCTCACTATGTGGCACCCTGCTGGGTTATAAAGCAGCTCGCTATTTGGCATCCTGCTGGGTTATAAAGCAGCTCACTATTTGGCACGCTGCTGGGCTGCACTCACCCGTTGCCGGCGGCGCCCTGTGCATCCTGCTTCGCTCTGTCGGCTGTGGAGCAAACGGTGGTTAGAGGGGAGAACGGAACCGGTCCGGACCCCGAGCCCAGACAGAGCCCACCAGCTTACCCTCATTCTTACACTCGTCCTCAAACGTCACTTTCTTCTCCTGTTTCAAACACACACAAAAAAGATACAACAGAACCGTCTGAGTCAGCTTTATTGTCAATTCTGCAATATTATGATGTCATATTATAATATATTATCATTAATATAATATAATGATATAATATATAATATCATGTCATATTATATGATATTATATGATATTATATGATATGATATGATATGATATTATATTATATTATATTATATTATATTATATTATATTGAATTATATGATATTATATTATATTATATTATATTATATTATATTATATTATATTATATTATATTATATCATATTATATTATTCATAGACATACCCAGAATCAAAAGTTTGTGCTCCCATACTCCCAGACAACACAATGAAAATTAAGATTTCTATCTTCCTCAGGTTTTCTACTCTGTGGCTCTACAGAAAGCTGCTTCAGAAGCAGGTTAGGATAAAGTTCATCTTCTTCTGGTCTGAAGACATTTCCCTGCAGTGGCACCGCGTCCCCCCCAGGGGGCGCGCCCCACCCTTTGGGAACCGCTGGTTTAAAGGAAGCCCACAGCTTTCTGAAACCCCCTTAAGGTGAATGATGAATAAGAGTTTAACGATGGAAGACACAAAACCAAAATGCACCAAACAACCAGAGCCGAGCTTCTGGGCTCTGACAGTTTTTTTCTGCTGGGAGTCCAAGTCTGAGCCGTCTATTTTCCATGGGCTGCACATTAGTGAGAGCTCGGCTCCATGGGGAATATTCCAGAGTCAAAGGGAGGCAGAATAACGGCCCCGGACGGGAAGCCGAGCAGAGTCAGCTCATTGTTGGGAACTCTGATTGGTCAGAGCAGCAGCCAGCTTTCCTCTGTCCTCTGTCCTCAGTCTGTCCTCTGTTCGCATTCTGTCCTCAGTCTGTCCTCAGTCTATCCTCAGTCTGTCCTCAGTCTGTCCTATATCCTCAGTCTGTCCTCTTTCCTCAGTCTGTCCTCTGTCCTTAGTCTGTCCTCCATCCTCAGTCTGTCCTCTATCCTTAGTCTGTCCTCCATCCTCAGTCTGTCCTCTGTCCTTAGTCTGTCCTCTGTCCTTAGTCTGTCCTGTATCCTCAGTCTGTCCTGTATCCTCAGTCTGTCCTCTTTCCTCAGTCTGTCCTCTATCCTCAGTCTGTCCTCTTTCCTCAGTCTGTCCTCTATCCTCAGTCTGTCCTCTATCCTCAGTCTGTCCTCTGTTCGCAGTCTGTCCTCAGTCTGTCCTCTATCCTCAGTCTGTCCTCTTTCCTTAGTCTGTCCTGTATCCTCAGTCTGTCCTCTACCTTCAGTCTGTCCTCAGTCTGTCCTGTATCCTCAGTCTGTCTTGTATCGTCAGCCTGTCCTCTATCCTCAGTCTGTCTTGTATCGTCAGCCTGTCCTCTATCCTCAGTCTGTCCTCCATCCTCAGTCTGTCCTCTATCCTCAGTCTGTCCTATATCCTCAGTCTGTCCTCTGTTCTCAGTCTGTCCTCAGTCTGTCCTATTTCCTCAGTCTGTCTTCTGTCTTCAGTCTGTCCTGTATCCTCAGCCTGTCCTCTATCCTCAGTCTGTCCTGTATCCTCAGTCTGTCCTCTATCCTCAGTCTGTCCTCTATCCTTAGTCTGTCCTCTTTCCTCAGTCTGTCCTCTGTCCTCAGTCTGTCCTGTATCCTCAGTCTGTCCTGTATCCTCAGTCTGTCCTCTGTCCTCAGTCTGTCCCCAGTCTGTCTTCAAGCTCAACCTCATGTCCTCAATCTGTTTATGTTTATGTATTTATGTTTATGTAATCTGTCCTCAGTGTGTCCTCTGTCCTCAGTCTGTCCTCATCTGTCCTAAGTCTGTCCTCCAGCTCCCCTCATGTCCTCAACCTGTTTATGTTCGTGTAATCTGTCCTCAATCTGCCCAAACCTGCCTTCATTTAGTCTTTTTACTCTGTTTTGATGCTGTTAGAAAACCTCAGCGGGTGGAGTTTCAGCCCTTTCAGCCAATCTGAAGCTCTTTAGTCAAACCCAACAAGACAAACACATTTCACAGCCCAGTCTCCGGGAAGGGGGCGTGGCTTACGTGCGACGGGGGCGTGGCCTCAGCGGCTTTGCCCTCCTGGTCCTCAGCCTGTTTGGGGGGAAGCTCAGGCGGCTGGGGAACCACTTTCACCACCCAGCTCAACATCCTGGATGCAGACATGGAGACACAGAGGGGCTCGTTCCGTACATCACCTGCTTTTAGCTAGCGGTTGGCTAGCTCAAATTAGCTTTGCTCATGACGGGTAAACCAACAAAAGCAACAAAACCTCCTAAAGTGCACTGCGTTCTGGGAATTTTTTAAGCCTTAATAAAGAGACATTTCTGCTGGCTCCTCATTAATATTTACTTAGGATATGAGAACAGTTAAACCCAGTTAAGAGGAGTAAATGTTTCAAGTTGTTTAGCCGCCAGATAACGATGACTGACTGACTGGCTGAGTAACTAGATAACTAACTGACTGACTGACTGACTGACTAAATAACTAATAAAGAGACTGACGGACTGACTGATTCACTGACTAACTAACTAACTAACTAACTTAGGATATTTACTTAGGATATGAGAACAGTTAAACCCAGTTAAGAGGAGTAAATGTTAACGATGACTGACTGACTGGCTGAGTAACTAGATGACTAACTGACTGACTGACTGACTGACTGACCGACTAACTAACTGACTGACTAACTAACTGACTGACTGACTTACTGACTAACTAACTAATTAACTAACTGACTAACTGACTAACTAACTAACTAACTAACTGACTGACTGACTGACTGACTGACTCACTAACTAATTAACTAAGTAACTAACTGAAGAAGACCCACACAGAATCTGAACCGGACATAGACTCAGACTGAATGCAGACGACCCGGAATGCACAGGAACACCAGAACCCGGTCAGAACCAGAACCAGAACCCAGTCAGAACCAGAACCAGTCCTTTCAGTACCACCTCACTTTCAGCAAAACGGAGTCTGAAGCTGCACCAGTCCCAGAAGCTGCAGAGCCAGCAGCTCACCGAGCTGAACCCCCCTCAATTTTCAGCCCCATCCCCTCCAGTTTCAGACTGAACCCCCCTCAGTTTCAGCCCTCTTTCTTAGGGTTTTTTCTATGGCTGTTGGTTGGAGGACTCTGGCTCTCTGGTTTCCTCTGTGGTTCAGTTTACTTTGAACAAAGCAGGAAACTCTGGTCTGAGAGCAGAGCATGGATGC